TGTGATCGGTGTGTGTGTGTGTGTGCGTGTGTGCGTGTGTGCGGTGCGCGTCGTTGGGCGCTGTGTACGTGCGCTGTATTATGTGGCGTCGCTGTGTGTTGTGCCGCATTTGCTGTGTTGCCGTAGCCGTGTGTGCGCGCGCATGTGTAACGTGCGTTAATTATGTGTGCGCGCGCGTGTGCGTGGCCTGTGTATCTATACGTATCACAATCTCTTGTGCGTGTGCCTGCGCGCGCGTGCACGCGGCGTGCGTGAGTGCGTGCGGCACTGACGCGCGTCTGGGGGCGGGTGGAGGTGAGGCAAGACGGACGAGCGAGCCGGACCGCCCCCCCCCCCCGCGCGCGCCGTCACGTGACCGCGCCATGTTTGCAACGAGTCGCGTGTGGGATGCGGGGTTTTTTATTAGTGATTATCGCCTGCAATTTTCACCCCTAAACCCCAACCTTTCCACCTCCCTGCTCTATGCTGTTTAATTGACCGACGGCAAGCGTGGACTGGATAGAGAGACGGGAGGGATTTAGCATTACGGACTCTGGGATCTGCGGGCTTCGAGTAGCAGTTGTTGCTGCCGCACGCGCGCTCACACGCTATCGTCTGCGAGGACGAGGACGACGATCGACGCCATCTGCTGCGCTCGGTGTTGTCATGGGAGGTTCCAGGGAAGCGTCGTTGCCGTGCTTTCCCCTGCTGGCGGGGTGGCTACAGTTGGAGAGATAAGCACCGGACTGTGTTGGTGATGTGCGCGCTGAGCGTGCTGGCTCGTGTGGAAGCAGTTGTGACGGCAACGTACACGTGTCGCGTAACGTGTCCGTAGGCGTGTTTCGTGGACGTGACGTAGCGTTGACTAACGTGTCGTAGCGGTCGTGGCGTGAACCAGTAACTGTCGTGGAACTTCGTCGTACCGTGTGCCGTAGCGTGTCCGTTTAAGCTGTCGTAACGTGTCGTAAACGTGTCGGTAGCAATACGTAACGTGACGTAACGACGTAACGTGTCGTAGCCCTTCGTACCATCCTCTCTCTCTCTCTCTCTCTCTCTCTCTCTATCTCTCTCTCTCTCTCTCTCTCTCTTTCATTCTCTCTATCTCTCTCTCACTCTCTGGCACGACACGGAGTCATTGTTTCATCATAGGTGACCCAAAAGACATAGCTTGCTGCTGTCACCATGACTGATGTTTGCGTCGTAGCTGACGCTAGACGTGGCTGTTTTATGGAACTATTGCTTACTCACCTGTGTTGATATTGCTCTGCTTCATTGCTCTATGCACAAGCACTTGAAGCGTTTCAATAAAATATAATGCTAAATAAATACGAAATTTAACACGAGTACTACAAAATTCTTAATGTTTCTATACTTTCTTTCACCCATTATTGCCGACAGTTCCCTGTAAATTCCCTGTAAATGCTCTATGCATACACTAACCGGCCGCCATTACACGGAATTTACAGGAAACTGTCGGCAATAATGGGTGAAAGAGTGTATAGAAACATTAAGAATTTTGTAGTACTAGTATTAGATTCCGTATTTATTTAGCATTATATTTTATTGAAACGCTTCAAGTGCCTGTGGCTCTATGTTGCTCCAGTAATCGTGCTCCGACCCCACCGCCTCAACACTGATAATTTATTCACATACGACTTTGTAGTACATGTTGGTGATTTATGCAACTACAAGAGCTGAAATACGTTGGTGTTTTATACACCCCAGCAATCGTGTAGTGTGACGAGATTTTATACGACTGCATACATTTACGCGTTTAATACCTGGATGTTTCACACACCTGTAAATAAATCGTAAAATACGTGATACCCTGGGTCAGTAGCGCAGCAGCATGACACGTCACCTATACTATTGCTTGGCACCTGTCGCATCTGATGACGTCATCGCTAATTGTCGTGTGTCGCATTTATAGGTGACGGTCGCGCGCTGTGTCCCCAGCTGTCGGGGTTGTGCATGGTTTAAGCACTGCGCTGTTTCCTGAGCTTATGTTCTTGTCGTTTCAGGGGCACGAGTTTCGCATGGTTCGAGACCCGATACAGGCGCCATTTCTTCCGAAGCAGTCCGATGTCGACTACCAGGATTCACTAATGATATTCAAACTGGTGAGGACGGGAACTGGAGCGCGTTTTTGTGTGGATCATCAAAGAAATGCGTCGTTCCGCATGCACGCATGTATTAAGGTCGTGCAAATACGCGCTGGGGGAGATTGTCTCCGGACAGAGAAAGAGCATTCCTACCGTATACATGTTACAGCGCTGGGAAAGGGGAGGGGGAGGGGGAGCTTGTGTTATTGTTGTGGTTTTCACGCACTTCTGTGGGTTCATGTTGCCTCCAATGTCCGCGTGTGTGCCTGGTCGTTCTATCGCTGCATTGTATAACTACCTGTTTGGTGTAAGCGTGCGAAATCTTAGTCAAGGTTTCCAGAGATGTATCACACGTTTCTTTTCAAGGCTTGCGCGAGAGCGCAATAACGTTCCCCCGTGCACGCGTGTGTGTGTTTTTGTTTTTCGTCAAGACTTCCTCAAATTGGCGGTTGCTTGATGCTGTAATCAGGGTTACGTTTCCGGACAATAATTATATGTCAGCTAGGAAGATGGAGTATATATGTCTTGCCAGTACACTCACTATATATCGGTATATATATGTGTATATATATATATCCCGCGGACAACGAGGAGGAGGAGGTTGTGAAGAAAGAGTAGGAGGGGGAGCAGAAAGGGGTGGAGGAGGCGGAGCAGGAAAGCTAACAGGAGATGCTCATAGAGGGTAGATGTGTAACGCATGGAGACTGTAACACGATCTACGCGGACACCGTCACTCCATGTAAACTAGCGATAGTAAATTACATTACAGAAATTAATCAGTTGCAAAGAAACCCAACCGCATGAAAGTACACCGCAACGTAGCATGAGGTAGCGGACGAGGAAGAGGAGGAAGTTGTGGAGGAAGAGGAGGAGGAGGAGGGGAGGACGAGTAAGAGGAGGAGGAGAAAGATGTGGAGGAGGAGGAGGAGGAGGAGGAGGAAAAAGAGATGGAGGAGAAAGCGGAGGGCGAGAAAGAGGTGGAGGAAGAGGCGGGGAAGGGGAGTAGGAGGAGGAGGCGGAGGGGGAGAAAGAGGTGGAGGAAGAGGCGGAGGAAGGGGACTAGCAGGAGGATGAGGAGGATGCAGAGGAGAAGGAGGCGGAGCAGAAAAACTAGCGGGAGATGCTCGTGGAATGTAACACATGGAGAATGTGACGCAGGCTTGACCCAAAGGCCACTCTCTCTCTCTTGCTCTCTCTCTCGCTCCCGCTCTCTCTCTCTCTCTCTCTCTCATTCTCTCGCGATAAAGCTGAGCCCAGCAACCGATCGTGCTTGTGCGCGCGTGTGTGTGTTGATGCGTATAAACCTTCCTTCATTCACTCACTCGTGTAGCATTGCTGTGGACCGCATCTCATACCGAGCGCTTTTCCCAAACACGCTGAGCGCCGATGCATACATAAAACCGTTTAAACTTCTACTTTTAGTGACGTTCTTTTCCGCTCCCCACTCTCTCTCTCTCTCTCTCTCTATCTGTCTCTTTGTCACTCTCTCTATCACTCCCTCTATCTCACGCGTTCGCTTGTGCACCGTAAATTGTGAAACTATTTGCCTTGTTAATTGCATTCCGACTCTCTCGGCTTGTGCGCGCTGCTAGCGGTCGAGAGGGAGAAAAGACGTTTAACTAAAGATTTCTTCTCCCGTGTGTCCATCTTGACCTTGACCTCTTGCCGCTAGTACCAACAACGAATCGCCGGCTAAATCTGTAATACTTCTGACGCTACGCTGTGCCACCTACCGGCGGAATTCGACAATTATTAGCGGTCGACGACAGGCGACGATGACGTCAGCGCTACGAGCGTGACGTCACTTGTGCCGACAAAAACGCGCGCGCCACCTCGCGGCGTTATGTGTAAAGCTGTCGCCGCCATGTTCTGGACGATGTGCGTATACGTGGGGACAATGCTCGACCGGATATCCGGCTGCTGCTGCTGCTGCTTCCGGCGCTGTTTCCGGCGGCGCGGCAGGAGAGGGTTGAAGCGGGGCGGGGTAAATTTCGCGGGCGCCGAATCCGTGGAGGACGTCTTCTACCGAGACTACCTCGACAGCGAGCTGCGGCTGTCCTTCTGCACGCATGCGCAGGAGATGCTGCACAACGACATCAATAAGGTAGCGACGGTGTCCCGCTCCGAGTTCATCGCGCTCTGTGCCAGCAGGGGACGCTGTCATCATCGCCAACACACAGGGATATTAACGCATGCGCAGAAACAGCAAACTTATGCAATACTTATACGGAAATATTTACTGACATGCTTACGTTTACCCGTGTGGGGATACCTATATTTACTTGTACGGCAATACCTCTATGTTTTACGGTAATATAGGGCTTGATACCAGGGTTAGGGGGTTGCCATCACTGACGTGCCCGAGATACTGTTCCTGTGGGGAATAGATTTTGGTTCCGGGATAGCGTTGCTTTCCTGGTGCTTCTGTCACTCGTGATACAACAGGGGTTTCAGCAGTGTGTGTGTGTGTGTGTGTGTGTGTGCGTGTGTGTGGGCTCAGCATTTTCATCAGCGTCTTTTTTTTCACATATAAATTCAGTATGTTTCTCGGCGAACTTTGTGAAAAAATTAATCTAATGCTTACGGACACTGTTTATTTGTCTACGATTACTGTAGAATGAATCAAATTTTTACCGACATATTTATTTTTTTCGTCGCATCACATACACGTGACGCAGGTTTTTCGTCTCTACTATTCGAGTAATTAATTTTTTTATTGTTGTATTGATTTACGTATCGATTTGTTGCTGTAGAACCGAGCAGCGCGCGCCGTCGCCGGCGTCAATCTATTGGAGATTCCCGCTGAGCTAGCCTTCATCTTCAGCAAACTCGACGGTGAGAGCCACGACGGCAACGATGACGCTAGTAGCGTCAACGTTGGCGTCGCCGCTAGGGCAAATGCTATATCATTCTGTGTTCACCTGCCGTGTTGTGTTACGGACGATGCCGCCTCTCTGGCTGTCATGATATTCATGGGGGAAGACCGGAAGGTGTAGTTCTCTGGCTGGTATCTGAGGGGGTGTGATTCTCTTGGTGCTGCCTGGGGGTGTAGGCATATGGGAGCATCTGAATGTATAGCTCTGCGGGAGGTGCGCGTGGGGCTGTTTTCTATGGGTGGTAATCGAGGGTGGTACGGTATATGCGTGTGTACAGACATAATATTATGCACATCTCCTCACACCTCTCAGAATTTCAACACACCTGTGATATGACTTCTTCGCACCTGTGAAAATCAAAAAATTTACAGTGATTTTAGTGTTTCGCTAATTGACATGCCAAAATTCTAGCCCGTGTAGTTTTTTAAGAAAATATCATGTGCTAGTTCTCGTCGTTTAACGCGAGAGTCTAGCTTCTTCTATCGTCTATTTATATCTACACTCATTTGCACACCTCTGCGCGTCCCTACACATCTCGGCACTCGTACCCGCACTTCTAAGTACGTCCCCCCATTCACCCTTCCTCTGGCTAGCGTGGTGTTTGTCGTGTCTCAGTATGCCCACCGGCTGAACACTCGCGACAATCATGTACGCCGTCTTGACAACGTCGGTGACACACGTAAACGATGACAGCGGTGACGGATTAGAAGCTGTGACGGATTAGAAGCGTTGACACATAAACCGCATAGACTCTAGGCTCTCGGTTCGTTCCTTCACAGACTGGCAACCGACACACAACGAGAGGCACCTGGCGAAGGTACACGGCAATGTGCACGCGCTATCGCAGCGCCATCTCTGGCCGCAGGACGTCAACTCGTACGCCTTCACGAAATTCTCCAACGTCTACTTCCGTGTAAGTGCATTCTTTGTTTACTGCTCTAGTTCTCCGAGTAGCTATAATGGCGTAAAATGAAGATTTTCCTGTTGCAGAAGGAAGATGTTCTAACGTATTGTTTGAATGAGTGCGCTCCTTGTTTACGTGCCTAGTTTCCTGATTCAATTATATTAAAAATAAAAATAATTATTATATCGTGGTCGAGGGAAAGGTTCCCAACGTCTTCACTGGGTGGATTAATTGGTTCCTGCTCTAGCTTTTGGTGATCAGTTTTTTTCCACTGTCGAGTCAAGTTTCGTGACCTCGTACCGACTGAGTATATTGCCTGTTACTTTCTCGATTATAAAAGTCATTGTAGCTTTTTTTTTATTGTTAGTTGTAGTTTTTTTTACAAGCTTTCACACTGACGTTGATTAAAGATGGTTTCTTGATCACTGTTACGTGGTTTTTCGTTTCTTATCCGTGATCACGATCGAATTTCCTAACGCCTGATCTCACAACGCGTTATTCACAACACCTGAATTTCCTCGTGAGTGGAGTGTTCACTTCTCCGAGTGAATGATTTTCATTTTTTTTACTGGATTTTTTCATGTATTTATGTTGGGTAATCATATTTTTGTAAGTTTTTACGCGTCATGTGTTCGCATGGGGGGTTGGCAGCTGGCTGCGCTGCGCAGTGCGTTCAGCAAACATCGGACCCGTGTGTGCGAGCGAGAGATGCACACACGCAGACGCGCACCACTCAAACGATGCGCGACAGATGCGACATTAGAAGACGAATTTGTCTTACGGGTTTGACTCGTAATGAGGTGCAGTGAGACAGAGGAGATACGCGCTCTTCTATCTGCGTATAATTATCCGTTACTCGAATATGCGCGTCGAATATGTATGTCAATGCCACGACAGAACAGCGCAGCTGTAAAATAACTAACCCAGTTTATATCGATCTGTGTCGCCTGGACGCGACCAAATAGTTACGTTCCTCTCCGCTACGAGGCGCACTGCGACGTGAAAGTTACGTAAAGGGAGCGTTAGAGTATTATTGATTGATTGATTGATTGATTGATTGATCTCCTTATCTTTATATCTATCCATCTATCTATCTATCGCGATCTAATCTATTCTATTCAATCTATCTATCTATCATCTATCTAATATCTATCGATCTCTATCTATCTATCTATCTATCTATCTATCTAGCTAGCTAGCTACTATATATATCTCTCTATATATATATATATATATATATATATATATATATATATATATATATATATTCATCCATCTATCCATTCATCCATCCATTCATTCATCCATCCAATCCATCCATCCATCCATCCATCCATCCATCCATTCCATCCTCCATCCATCATCCATCCATCCATACCATCCATCCATCCATACCATCCATCCATACCATCCATCTATCCATCCAATCCATCCATCATCCTCCATCCATCATTCCATCCATACATCCATCCAAGTCCAATCTCCCATCCATCCCATCCATCGCATTTATTCATCCATCCTCCATCCCTTCCATCCATCCATTCCATCGCATCCATCCATCCATCCATCCCATCCATCCATCCATCCATCCATCCATCCATCCATCCATCCATCCATCCATCCATCGATATATCGATATCTGCATGGCTATATCCATCCCATCCCATCCATCCATCATCATCCATCCATCCATCCAATCCATCCATCCATCCATCGATATATCGATATCTGCATGGCTATATCCATGCCGCTAGATATCTATCTATCAATCGATTCATCCAATTCTTTCACTCTTTTACTTATTATTTCGCTTCCTTCTACAAGCAGAAATACTGGTAAACAACATCCTACAAGGTATATACGTTCCTGTAGTCGGTGTTTACGCATGGATATGCTAATACACGTTGTCGTTGTAGGAAACTGGTTCGTGAAATCACGAAGGCTTACCTAGTCTTCACGTACTTAAATTCGTCTACTTTACTGGATTTACAGTTTTATTTCTTGAGCCGGTAAACTAACGTCTGAATGAATTTATATCTGCGGAGTTTCACACACTCTAACCTCATATTTTTCTCTAGATTATGGCTTGAAAATCCTCGTTGTTGTTTCACTTGAGATCATATCTAATTTCGATGCGATATTCTCAGTTTTCTGTTCCTCGAGTTTTTTCAGCGGTTGAGCATCTAGGCGTACACATACACACACTTAAACGCAAGCGGCGCGCACGCACACGGCACAAGCGCACACACGCACTGCACCACACGCGCACACAACGCACGTACGCACGCACACACCGCAACACGACGCACGCAACACACACACCACAGTCACGTCCCGCACACGCAACACACACCACGCACACACGCAACACACACGCACGCAACACACCCAACACGCACACACGCACGCACGCACGCACGCCACAGCACGCTACACGCACACGACGATCCCCGGCACACAGCACCCATCGCACACATAAGCACACAACGGCACAGACTAGCCGAGCCGCGCACACCACACGCACACGCACACACACCACGCACATGCGCGCACGCAACCACGAGAACACGCAAGCATACATTACACATATATTATACATATAAACAACCTCGTTTGCTTCAAACGGCATCCGTAGAATTGTCGTCCAAACTGCTATCTAGATGCCAGCACTCGCTGCTAAACGCAGCGATTTCCCTCACACCCGGGCGCTTTTAACTGCTACATCTGTACTGCTGCTGCTGCTGCTGCTGCTGCTGCTGGCTGCTGCGCTGCTACTGCTTGCTTACTACTACTACTACGGATGCTGGCTTGCTGCTGCTGCTACTATATGTTTCTGCTGCGCTGCTGCTGCTGCTGCAATACTCCTTACTACTGCTGCTGCTGCTTACTGCTGCATGCTGCTGCTGGCTGCTGCTGCTACTACTTAACTACTACTACTAAACTGCTGCTGCTGCGCCTAACTACTAACTACTACTACTGCTGCTGCCTGCTGCTGCTGCTGCTGCTGCATACGCTGCTGCTACTACTACCCTACTACTGCTGCTGCTGCTGCTGCAACTGCTGCTACTACTACTACTATGCTGCGCTGCTGCTGCGCTGCTGGCTACTACTGTCTGCTGCTGCTGCTGCTACTGCTACTGACTACGATGCTGCTGCTGCTTGCAGCGCCCGTCGACAGCCCACTAAGACAGGCTCAGGCATTTTTCCCCGTGCGTACAAGCCCGTAGTGTTTGCTGTCTGAAGGTCGAGAACCCCGCCGACCAAGTATAACCAAACTTCTCACTTGGTTCGCCGCGCAGACGATAGAGAGAGAGAGAGTCAGGGGCAGAGCGAGAGAGGGAGAGGGGAGAGAAGGGAGAGAGAGAGAGAGAGAGCGAGAATGAAAAAGAAGAGAAGAGAGAGGAAGAGAGAGAAACATAAGAGAGAGAAGAGAGAGAGAGAGAGAGAGAGGGAGGGATGAGAGAGAGAGAGAGAGAGAGAGAGAGAGAGAGAGAAGGAGCGAGAGAGACGAGAGAGAGAGAGAGAGAGAGGAGAGAGAGAGAAAGAGGGAAAGCGAGAGCAGCGCAGCGAGAGAGAGAGAGCAGAGCGATAGGCAGAGAGAAAGAAGAGAGCACGCGAGAGAGGCAGCAAAAGAGAGCAAAGCGGACGCGATACGCAGAAGACAGAGAGCGAGAAGAGAGCGAGCCCGCGCGCTGGCGCGCGGGCGAGAGAGAGAGAGAGAGAGAGAAGAGAGAGAAGAGTGAGGAGAGAGAGAGAGCCGAGAGAGAAGAGAGAGAGAGAGAGAGAGAGAGAGAAGAGAGAACGAGACATGCAGAGAGAGAGAGAGAGAGAGAGAGACGAGAGAGAGAGAGAGAGAGATGAGAGAGAACGAGACATGCAGAGAGAGGGGGAGAACGTGAAGTAGGAAGGAAAGGATAAGCCGGTGCGCTTGTGTTCCTACATGATGCCTCTATTATTCATCGCGCGAGGCGGGGTCGGGCAGGAGTCGCCACTAGGACATAATGTGGGGGGAGGAGGAGTAGTGAGAGGTTCCCCCCTCGATGAAGAGAGATAGGAGACCATGACAAGCGATCGTGTGTTCCCAAGCCGAGAAAAGTTTTTTCAAAATATCGAGCAAGACTGTTGTCAATCGCTGGATTGGCTTTCAATAAATCGAGCAAGGCTTTTGTCAAGCGCTGATCCAATATCGAAGCAAGAATGTTGTCACTCGCCTTGATTGCTTTCACATACGCGAGCAAGGACTGTTGTCAGCGCGATTGGCTTCCAATATCGGGCAAGACTGTTGTCAATCGCTGAATTTGCTTTCAATACCGAGCAAAGACTGTTGCAAGCGCTTGATTTGCTCTCATGATAGTAGTATCTGAAGAATGGATTACCATGAAATCCCTGCAATGAATGGGTTTTGTGAGTGAATCACTAAATAACTAGGTATCTAGTTGAATAGAAAGAGTGAGAGGGTGACTCAACCGGTCTGCTGGCCCGAATATACTATTACAGATCAATTTTTTTCGGTTCGTTGGGGTGGTCTACTCCCTGCTCACAATACACCACTCTCTCTCTCTCTCTCTCAGCATCTCTCTCTCCTCTCTCTCATCTCTTCTTCTCTTTCCTCCTCCTCTCTCTCTCCCTTTCTCTCTCCTCCTCTCTCTCTTCCTCTTTCTCCCGTATCTCTCTCTCTCTCTCTCTC